CCCCCCCCCCCCCCCCAGCAAGGGATTTTGCCTCTTTCGTTCATTGCTCTATTCTCAGTGCCTAGAATCGTCTGGTATGTGGCAGGTGTCTGGAAGCATGTATTGACTTTGTGAATGTGTTAATGGAAGGGAGACCTCCACTTGTCCATGGGTCCTGGAGATAGCTATAGGTCATGTGCAAACCAGAACGAAGGAAGGATATTGCAGAACATTGTTTTCTGATGAATGCCTATCCAGTTTCTTTCTGTTTGTTACTTTCTTGGGTGCCCTTGGCATGAAAGTGTGTTTGGGTATGTGCACTTGACCCGTGTCCCAGGGCAACTGGTAGGCATTGTGCTTGTGGTCATACTGAGTAACATGCTTTGTCTCTGTGCTCTGTGGCTTTCTTGGAACCTTCTGTTGGGGAGCATTTTCTTTTTTTTTTTTTCTTTTTTAATTTTTTTTTAATGTTTGTTTATTTTTGAGAGAGAGACAGAGTATGAGCAGGGGAGGAACAGAGAAAGGGGGAGACACAGAATCCGAAGCAGGCTCCAGATTCTGAGCTGTCAGCACAGAACCTGACACGGGGCCCAAACTGACAGACAGTGAGATCGTGACCTGAGCAGAAGTCAGAAGCTTAACTGACTGAGCCCCCCAGGCGCCTCAGGGGAACATTTTCATTTCTGGGAAGAATACTTTTGGAATGACAATTCTTTTTTTTTTTTTTTGAGAGCATGTGTGTCCTGGGGAGAGGGGCAGGAGGATGGAGAGAATCTCATGCAGGCGCCACACCCAGTGCTGAGCCTGATGCAGGGCTTGATCTCATGACCATGAGATAACGACCTGAGCTGAAATCAAGAGCCAGATCCTTGGGGCACCTGGGTGGCTCAGTCGGTTAAGCATCTCTTTTTTTGGTTTTGGTTTTGTGTTTAAATTTATTTTTATTTATTTTGAGACAGAGAGCAAGCCAGGGAGGGGCAGAGAGAGGGAGACAGAATCCCAAGAAGGCCCCGCACTGTCAGCACAGAGCCTGATGCAGGGCTCAAACTCATGAACCATGAAATCGAGACCTGAGCCAAAATCAAGAGTCGGACGCTTAACCGACTGAGCCACCCAGGCGCCCCTGGAATGAGGATTCTGATGTCCTGTTCTCAGATCCCCCAACAGAAGGAAGAAAGATATGTTTCCTCTTTCTTCTTCTATATGTTTCTTCTACTGTATCAGGCAGTATCAGCCAGGTTGCAAGCTGCCTTCCTTTTGAAGAGTTGCCATCTGCAGCCCATTTGCCTCTTTCAAAGCACCCACCCACGTTACTGCCTCCAGGTTTCCCCTTCCCTGTCCTCGGAGGGGAAGATTTAAGGTGAGAGCGATAGGAGACACATACCCGAATGCTGCCTGCATCTGGTTCAAAAATAGATCATGCTTTTTATTTTCTACAAAGTTAGCCATTAAACAAATGTGAAAGAATATAGATTTCATACAGTTTTTCCCTGATTTTTTAAATGAAGATTTGGTGCTTTTCAATTAGTAAACATTCATTGTGTTTTAATTAGAACTTTTTTTTTTTAATTTTAGACCGAGAGCAAGTAGGGGAGAGGGGCAGAGAGGAGAGAGAGAGAATCTTACATAGGCTCCATGCTTAGCACAGAGCTAGACACGGGGCTCGATCCCGTGACCCTGGGATCATGACCTGAGCCAAAATCAAAAGTCGGATATTCAACCAACTGAGCTACCCAGGTGCCCTTCAACTAGTGAACAGTCTGACGTAGAAAGACTCAGGAAATTTCCTGCTTAAAATTGTCAACATCCTCAGAGAGGCTCCCTGTTCCCCTCACACAACTCCTCCTTTTAGGGGTCGGTTTGTTAAATATAACCATAAACGGAATTACTCACCAAAAAGTACATACTCACCTATTAGCGTTTTCCCAAGATTCTAGTAACTTATCTTTCCATTTGAACAATTTAATTAGGGACTGGGTAACTTGTAGAAGCAAAGTTTCCGAGTCTTCCCGAGCGTGAGCCATAGTAAGAAACACATCTTTCGTTGTAACCAGAACATTTTGCATGTTGCAGATTTATATGTGACTTTCACAGGCATTTCGAATAATGACACCTGTCCTGTTGGCAGTGATGCTCTGATAGTTGCTGTCCTGGTTCTTTTTTCTGAGAGCTTATTACAAACTTTTAAATCTTTCCAGCTTACTAGAGTCTCGAAAGTTTTCGAGTTTGAAAAACTGTTGTGGTGGGTTATGTTATCCACACATCCATACATCCACAGTTCTTCCACATCCTGTTATCACAGAGATAGTCCTAAAGCTTCAGAAGGAGCCAGCAATAGGCCTTCCTTTCTTTTCACCCCAGAGACACTTGCCACCTTTTATTGTTTTTGTTAGCATCCTGGTTGAGGTACCCCTGTCTCTCGATGTCCCCTGTGCAGCTTTTCAGCTTCCCAGCAAAACTGCAATATTCTTTCCCTTTCCTGTATCAAATAACTTACCTGGAAAAGATATTTTCTTTCTAGGGTGTGGCTTCAACTCTCAGCAGAATAGCTGAACCAGGATTCATTTATTTCATTTTTTTTTTTTCTTTTAATTTTTTTTTTTCAACGTTTATTTATTTTTGGGACAGAGAGAGACAGAGCATGAACGGGGGAGGGGCAGAGAGAGAGGGAGACACAGAATCGGAAACAGGCCCCAGGCTCTGAGCCATCAGCCCAGAGCCCGACGCGGGGCTCGAACTCGTGGACCGCGAGATCGTGACCTGGCTGAAGTCGGACGCTTCACCGACTGCGCCACCCAGGCGCCCCACATTTATTTCATTTAACATGCACTTGTGGAGTACTTTCCACACTCCAGGCAGAGTTCTGGACATTGGTAATAAAGTCGGAAAGTGTAAAATGTGTTCACCGTACAAGGTATAACATGCTTCCCTCCTTGGTGCTGCATTGTGGTGGGAAAGACGTATGGTGCCCGACAGATGACCTAGCAAGTCACATGGTGAGAGGGGTGCATGGAACATAAGGAAGGATGGGAGTTGCCGGAGGTGAACTGGGGGCGGACAGGGCTGATTAGTTTACGCTGGGCCGTAAAGTGGCTTGTTGCTGGACTGACTTTGAGCAGAGACCTACAAGTCATGAGGAATCATCCATGTGTCTGTCCGGGAAGTGTTCCTGGCAAGATCAGACTCCCGCAGTTGGGCTGGTTTTCGGAGGTTACACCATAACCTCATCTTTTCCTTTTCCCAGGCTCTGTCTCTGTTGTTTTTACTTTTTGTCTAGAGCTCTGAATTACCATCAGGTTTTAGAACCATGTATGTTTTCTGTTCAACTTTATTTCCCTTTTGTCCTCACGAAGGAAACTTGCCCGCAGAAGATAAAGTTCTGCTGTCTGCTTTATGCTATGTTTTAGTCAGTGTGCCATTAGGTATTTGCTCCCAAACCCGCAAGTCATTCTAGATATTCCAGGTCACCTGGACGCTGCAGTAACTTTCCAATAAAGTGACCCAAGGCAGGGCTCTGTAGAGGCTGTTTCCCACACGTCTAGTGGATCGAAACGGGGGCAGCTTTTAATTGACTATTCATACGGGGAGGCGAGTGAATTTCCCTTTTAAACATTTCTTCAGCAGTGTTTTCAAAGACTATCTTTCTAGAACAGTTTTAGGTTCACAGCAAAATTGAACGAAAGAGACAGAGATATCCCATATATCCCCTACCCCCACACACTCACCTCTTACATGATCAGTATCCCCACCAGATACAATTGATGAACCTATATGGACACATCATTGTCACTGAGTCTAGAGTATACATTAGGGTTTACTCATGGTATCATACATTATATAGACTTGGACAAATGGATAAAGCCACATATCCATCTTTATAGTATTATATAGAGTAGTTACACTGCCCTAAAAAATCCTCTGTCCTCTGCCCGTTCATCCCTCCCCTCTAACCCTTAACCACCATTGATCTTTTTACTGTCTCCATACTTTTACCTTTTCAATAATGTCATATAGTTGGACTCATACTTTTCAGTTTGGCTTTTTTCACTTAGTAATACGCATTTACATTTCCTCCATATCTTTTCATGGATTAGTAGCTCATTTCTTTTTAGCACCAAATAATATTCCATTGTGTGTATGTACCACAGTGAATTTTTATCTGTCCGCCTACTGAAGGACATCTTGGTTCATTCAAAGTTCGGTCCTTGTGAATAAACCTTGTCCAGGTTTTGTCTGTGTATAGATTTCTGTGTGGCGTACATTTTCAGCTCCCTTTGGTTAATAGCAAACTGTGCAGTAGTGGGAGAGTATGGTAAGGGTATGTTTAGTTTAGTTTTGTTTTGTTTTGTTTTGTTTTGTTTTGTTTTGTTTTGGGGGGGTATGTTTAGTTTTGTAAGAAACCACCAAACTGTCTTCCAAAGTGTCTATACTATTTTGTATTCCTACCAGTGATGAATGAGTTCCTGGTGCTCCACGTCATGGCCAGCGCTGGTGGTGTTGGTGTTCTAGATTTTGGCCATTCTAATACATGTGTAATGGTATCTTGGTGTTTGGATTTGCATAAAATAACATGGGGAGCATCTTGTCATACACTTACCGCCATCTGTAGCTCCTCTTCAATGGTTTTTTTTTTTTTTTATGTTTATTTCTGAGAGAGAGAGAGAGAGAGAGAGAGAGAGAGAGCATGAGCGGGGTGGGGCAGAGAGAGACACACACACAGAATCTGAAGCAGGCTCCAAGCTCTGAGCCATCAGCACAGAGCCCGACGCGGGCCTCGAACCCACGAGCCATGAGATCATGACCTGAGCCAAAGTCAGACGCTTAACCAACTGAGCCACCCAGGCCCCCCGATCCTCTTCGATGTTAGGAAGGTCTTTGGTCCATTTTTTAATCAGGTTCTTTTTCCTTATTGTTGAGTTTTAAGAAAAGTACTTTTTGAAAAGTTTATTGAAAAAATAATCTTCAAATGTTTAGATAATCTTTATGTAAATACAGAGACTTGGGAATGTGAATGGGGTAAATGTTTTAGAAAACACATTTCTGAACTTAAGTTATTAAAGGTGGTCAAAAGTTTGTAATAGTAGCCAACCCATTTAATGTCTGTCAACACAGAAAAATAAAGTTAGGTGAACATGTGCAGAATTTCCAGGAATACTTTGAATATAGAAATATAAATATTTCAAGGTATTTGGTATTAGGACATATAATAAATCCAAAATTTGGTTGTGTTACTGCTTTTCTTTAAGTTCTAATTGATTGATATTATCTATATAACTTTTCTAACTACATAACTTATTAACTACATAATTTTCTATTCAATATTCTACACTGACTTTCAAATTCAATAGAAATGGCCATAGAGGCAAACCATAAGAGACTCTTAAATACAGAGAACAAACTGAGGGTTGATGGGGGACGGGGGGAGGGAATATGGGCTTAGTGATTAGGAGCCCACTGGCCCCCCTCCGGTGTTCCCTACACCTGCAAATCAGAGACTCTGATACATGGTGGAAAAGACCGACTGGACATTCTCTGGGTTCAGTAAAGTCTTACGGTCTCTCCTAAATGTGAAATCTTGAAAATACTGAACAAAGCCTTCAGTTGTCCACATCTCTGCATTCTCTGTCTTTACAGGAGGAAAGATCCAAAATAAAATGAAGACTGTTTTAGAAACAGAACCACACAAAGAGCTTTCCTGCTGGCAGATCTGGCAACAGATTGCAAGTGACTTAACCCAGTGTGAAGGCTCCATGATAAAGAGTTCTCAGTTCCCCAAACAAGGTGATTCACCTGGACAGGTTGGGGCCAGACTAACTGAAACTCACACAGGTCAGAAACCTGATCAGTGCAGTGAATTTAAGAAATATTTCAGTGATGTCTCCAACTTTGATCTTCATCAACAAGTACACACAGGAGTGAAGTCTCACACATGTCGTGAGTGTGGAAAAAGCTTCTGTTACAGTTCAGCACTTCATATTCATCAGAGAGTTCACCTGGGAGAGAAACGCTATAAGTGTGATGAGTGTGGGAAGGAATTCAGTCAGAGCTCATGCCTGCAAACTCATCAGAAAGTCCACACCGTAGAGAAGCCATTCAAATGTGAGCAGTGTGGGAATGGCTTCTGTCGTAGATCAGCACTTAATGTTCATTATAAATTGCACATGGAAGAGAAACCTTATCGTTGTGACCAATGTGGAAGGGCCTTCATTCATGCTTCCCATCTTCAGGAACATCAGAGAATCCACACCGGGGAGAAACCCTTCAAATGTGATAAATGCGGTAAGAATTTTCGTCGTAGATCATCACTTAATAGTCATTGTATGGTCCACACGGGAGAAAAACTGTACAAATGTGAGGAGTGCGGGAAGTGTTTCTTTTGTAGCACAAATCTTCACATCCATCAGAAGGGCCACACGCGAGAGAAACCTTATAAATGTGAGGAGTGTGGGAAGGGCTTCATTCAGCCTTCTCATTTTCGGGCCCATCAGAGAATCCATACTGGTGAGAAACCATATGTATGCAAAGTGTGTGGTAAAGGCTTCACTATGAGTTCAAATCTTCAAGCACATCAGAGAGTCCACACAGGAGAGAAACCATACAAATGCAACGAGTGTGGAAAGAACTTCGGGACGAAAACCCGTTACCAGGTTCATCTGGTGGTACACACGGGAGAGAGACCCTATAAATGTGAAGTATGTGGGAAGGACTTCAGTCAGAGAGCATATCTTCAGTCCCATCTGAAGACGCACAGTGTAGAGAAACCTTACAAGTGTGAGGAATGCGGGCAGGGCTTCAATCAGAGTTCCCGACTTCAGATTCACCAGCTGACCCACACCGGAGAGAAGCCACACAAATGTGAAGAGTGTGGGAAGGGATTCAATCGTAGAGCAGATCTCAAAATTCACTGCAGAATCCACACTGGAGAGAAACCATTTAATTGTGAGGAGTGTGGGAAGGTATTCAGGCAGGCCGCAAATCTTCTGGCGCATCAGAGAATCCACAGCGGAGAGAAACCTTTCAAGTGTGCAGAGTGCGGGAAGAGCTTTGGTCGCAGTTCACACCTGCAAGCCCATCAAAAAGTGCACACTGGAGAAAAGCCATACAAGTGTGAGGAGTGTGGGAAGGGCTTCAAGTGGAGCTTGAATCTGGACATGCATCAGAGGGTCCACACGGGAGAGAAACCCTACAAGTGTGGGGAGTGTGGTAAGCACTTCAGTCAGGCCTCAAGTCTTAAGGTTCATCAGAGTGTTCACAGTGAGGAGAAACCGTACAAATGTGATGTGTGCGGCAAGGTCTTCCGCCACTCTTCACAGCTACAGTCTCATCAGAGAGTTCACACAGGGGAGACCCCTTACAAGTGTGAGACCTGTGGTCAGAGCTTCCGTTGGCGATCCAAACTTTCACATCATCGCAAAACTCATGGTGGCAGTACGGTTTATGAAGGTAACAAGAGTGGTAAGAACATGAAGGAATTGTGTGTGGAAAGAAGTTCTCCAAAATGACGTTGTGTGAAACCCTGAATTCTTACCATCATCGAGTCTCATAAGAGAGAAAATACTTGTTTGGTTTAGTTGGTATTGAAGCAATAATTGAACCTATCTCGGTTTTCACCAGATCACACAGTGGAGAACCCTTAAGTGGTGTGATATGTCTTTGTTCAGAAGCACTTAGATAGCACTTAGGAATAGAGTTTGGTCTGGCCTTTAACACAAGTATAATGGTGTGCATGCCAGAATTCATATGCACTAGAATGTAAGCTGCATGAGGACAGGGACTTTGCTGCTAAATATACATAGCCCTCAAAGCTGGAGGCATCATAATTCTGGACTTCAAGTTATATTACAAAACTGTAACAAACAAAATAGTATTGTACTGGCACAAAAATAGACACATAGGTCACTACAACAGAATAGAAAACCCAGAAATGAACCCACAAATACATGGTCAGTTAATCTACAACAAAGCAGGAAAGAATATCCAATGGGAAAAATAGCGTTGGGAAGACTGGACAGCAACATGCAAGAGAGTGAAATTGGACTGCATTGTTACCCCATACACAAAAATAAACCCAAAATAGATTAAAGACCTAAGTGTGAGACCTGAAACCATAAAAGTCCTTGAAGAAAGCATAGGCAGTAATTTCTCTGATATCAGCTGTAGCAACTTTTTTCTTCGAGATAGATCTCCTGAGGTAAGAGAAACAAAAGCAAAAATAAACTATTGGAACTACATCAAAAGAAAAAGGTGCACGGCAAAGGAAACCACAAAACTAAAAGGCAGCCTCCTGAATAGGATATTTGCAAATGATGCATTCGATGAGGAGTTACTATCCAAAATATATGAAGAAATTGTAAAACTCAACACCCCCTCCCCCAAAAATCCAATTACAAAATGGGCCGAAGACCTGATTAGACATTTCTCCAAAAAGACATCTAGATGGCCAACAGACACATGAAAAGATGCTCAATGTCTCTTCTCAGAGAAATGCAAATCAAAATTAAAATGAGCTATCCCCTCACACCTGTCAGCATGGCTAAACTCAAGAACAAAAACAACAGTTGTTGGCAAGGATGTGGAGAAAGGGGAACCCTCCTGCACTGTTGGCAAGAATGCAAACTGGTGCAGCCTCTGTTAAAAACAGTATGGAGGTACCTCAGAAAATTAAAAATAGAACTGCCCTATGGTCCAACAATTGCACTATTAGGAATTTACCCAAAGAATACGAAAACACTAATTTAAAGGGATACATGCACCCCAATGTTTATAGCAGCATTGTTTACAATAGCCAAAATATGGAAAGACCCCAAGTATTCGTAAGTTGATAACTGGGTAAGGAAGATGTGGTATGTGTATATATATATACGACGGAATATTACTCAGCCATAGAAAAGAATGAAATCTTGACATTGGCAATGATGTAGATGGATCTAAAGGGTATATTGCTAAGTGAAATAAGTCAAAGACAAATATGTAATTATACTCCTATGCGGAATTGAAGAAACAAGAAACCAGCAAAGGGCAAAGGAGAGGCAAACCAAGAAACACTCTTAACTATAGAGAACAAACTGATGGTTATCAGAAGGGAGGTGGGTTGGGGGGATGGTTTAAATAGGTGATGGTGATTAAGGAGTGCACTTGTGATGAGCATCGAGTGATATGTGGAATTTCTGAAGCACTATATTGTACACCTGAAACTAATACACTGTATGTTAACTAACTGGAATTTAAATAAAAACTTTACAAAAAAAAAAAAAAAGTCTGCACAGCCTTAATATCGACTAGCCCTTGTAGGTGTGCTCTCTATCTGTATGTTAAATAAACAACATATGAAAATTGTATCCAGAGGAGGAAACCTGCAAAGTAAATTTCAGGGAAATGAACATTTGTTGAACTGTAGAAAACCACTGGATATTACAATTCACAATATTAATGTTACTCCTCTACTATAAATGGCTCCTCTCCTCCCACAGCCTCTGTTCTCAAGTTGGGTTCTTATCTGGGGCCCTGTGTACTTTTCCAAGCATTGTATACAGTTACGTTGAACTGTCTTTTGTCATTTTTCTGATGCTACAGACTGAGAAAGTTTTGTTTGCAAGGACTTAACTGCATTTCACACAGCTGCTTTTATCTATCAATGTTAAGGCAAGAATTTACTGTAACACTTTGAAAATGTCACAATTAATTACCAATAACAATTTTCTTAACTGACCTTGAGTTTATCGTTGATTTATAACTCTGCATTTCCATCCAACTCAAAATGTTGCCTTCTAATTACTGTAGCAATTTTTTATCAAAACTTTCATGTGGGGTCTATGTCCTCTTTCTCCCCCATGCTCATGAAAGGAATACCCCCCCCCCCCCCACACACAACACATTTGTGGGAATTTGATAATTTGATCAAATGTTTTTTTTTGTTTGTTTGTTTTTTAATGTTTAGTTTTGAGACAGAGAGAGACACAGCATGAGCAGGGAAGGGGCAGAGAGAGAGGGAGACACAATGTGAAGCAGGCTCCAGGCTCTGAGCTGTCAGCACAGAGCCCGACGCGGGGCTCGAACTCACAAACTGTGAGATCATGACCTGAGCCAAAGTCGGACGCTTAACCAACTGAGCCACCCAGGCACCCCTGATCAAATGTATTTTTGAGGGGAAATTGATACATGCTTTTCCCTACTGGCAGCACTAAATCATGGTTCTTGGAAAGGAGTATATGTCAGAATATAGGTTGTACATCTCTGATTTGGAAATCATATAATCAGAAGTTAACATGAAATTAAAATACCAAGAAGATGAGCACCACATTGATGATATCACTGATTTTTTAATAGGAATAAGCACACGTCTGTAGGAACTTGAATTTTGAATATTCATATATTAACTTGAAGCCATTAAGATTATGGCAGATATCTGTGACGAGGAGAAATATACGGGCTTTGAGAAATCATAGATTGTAGCCTTCATAGCATAATCACACATAAATCTTTGTGTGTTTGTGGGAACGTATGTATCTACATACATAGATAATGTGTAAAGGGATCCTTTTTCATAAGTGGTTTTCCTTGGCAAGGAACATTTTATAGCATTTTCGCATTTTTCATCCCCCCCCCCATATTCTTCCATTTAAGTTATGCTTCAGTTTTTCATGGAATAGTACCAAAGCAGTAAATTACAATGGAATTTAGGAAAGTACCAAATAATTATCCCTTGCAGTTAAGCTGCTCTGAATGTTCTGTATTGTCATCTGGCATATAAGATCAAAATTAAGGTATAGTCTCTGGAAGCCAATTCCAAAACCAAAAAATTCTCTGGTGGTTTTAAATATACAAGAATTAAATGAATTTTAACAATTGTAGTTAACGCATGCTGTGCTTTAAGTATAAATTCATAACAGGGAGAAGGCAAATCCTGGAGCTACAAACAACATTGGTATAAATGCATTGTGGAGGCATTAAAAAACGAAACATTTCCTTTTGAAAAGGTATGCATGAAGGAAGAACATAACAGCAATGTGGACCCTCTGGCTGTGGAACCAGTAAAGGTGAAGACCAGGTTTGGATGCTGTTACATAGACATGATAGTGATTATTCATTATAGTTGATTAAAGGGGCTTTCCTCAGCAAACTCTATTTACTGGAGACAGATTCCCACAATTGAAATTGATTTTGTGAACCACACCTTCATCGGATGTTAGGTACTTAATTAGGTCCGTGCTGTTTCAGTTTCGTGTGTTGGGGGTTCCTAAAGCTGTTCCATGTTCTTTCATTCCCTAGGAGTACCCAACAACTGACCTGTTAACTGAAAGGATACAAAATAAAATGAGCAAAAGGAGAAGGTACATAGGATGAAGTCCGGAGGAGGAAATTGGGTGCAAGCTTCCTAAAGTTCTCTCCCTGTGGAATCACAGTGTACCGAATTCCTTTGGCACTGAATTGTGGTAACACGTGTGAAGTGTCACCATCAGAGACTCTGTGCCCTAGGGTTTTTTTGGAGGCCGGTTACTTAGGCATTCTCTGCCTGGCATGTACCAAAATTAGAGATTCTCAGAAGGAAAAGAGATATTCAGGATAAATCACTTTGCACAAAGAGCTTAGGCACTGTGAACTACTTAGGGAACGGTAGGAATCCTCCTGACCAATCCAACTACCCAGATATTTGTCAAGAGCCAGCCTTGCACACCGGCCTTTCTAAGGGTCTCAGTCTCAGCTCTATTTTAAACTTTTCTGTACACTTGACATCAGAAGCCCAGTGCCTTCATTTTGGTTTCGTTTTTTTTTTTTTGTTTTTTTTTGTATTTTGTTTACCATTTTTTGCTGTTATACCATAATGTGTCATCAGGGAATTTGTGACAGAAAACTCAGTAGATGAAAAAAAAAAAAAAAAGATTTGCCCTCACAACTTCTAAGACTGCAGGTACGGCTTACTGGTTGAAAGTTACTGAAAAACAGGATGGGTGCTACAGAGCCCAAAATATCTCCACAAAGTACAGTATTATTATAAAAAGAAATATAGGGGCACCTGGGTGGCTCAGTTGGTTAAGCTTCCGACTTTGGCTCAGGTCATGATCTCACAGTTTGTGAGTTTGAGCCCCACGTCGGGCTCTGTGCTGACAGCTCAGAGCCTGGAGCCTGCTTCGGATTCCGTGTCTCCCTCTCTCTCTGCCTCTTCCCCTGCTCACACTCTGTGTCTCTCTCACAAATAAATACACATTAAAAAAATTTTTTTAAAGGAAATGTAGGTATATCATGGAGAAATCTGGGTGAACACTCCCTTAGCCAAGATGTTCATATTATTGATAATAGAACAAACCTACATTTTAGGTCTGATATGTACCAAGAAGGACATGATGTTGCTTCACTGTTATTACCGCCAATACAATATTTTTGTATTTTTGTATCCTGATTTCTGAGGGAATAGCAGATAAACCCAAATTGATAGTTTCTTCACAATTGCCTGACTGCAGGAGTATAATTGGCCAAAGGGCCCAGCTGCTGTGCTCTAAAATGCACCACCACACTACATTTACATGGAGGCCAATCTTCCCATGATTGCTCCCCGTCAACACAATAGGGGTCCTAAAACGGATCCATTCTTGGAGGCTGGGACTCCTCTGTCCAAAGCCTTTTCTTCAGGGACCCCCTCCCCCTGACAGCTTTCAAGAACTTAGATATAAGGCAGTCTAGGATGATCACCAAATCTTCCAAAACTCCTTCACTCAGGGTCACGTTTGTACCATGATCTGATGATTCTGATGATTCCCTCCCTGAGCTCCCGGCCATTTTCTCTCTCAGATGTTTCCCCCTAATAAAATATCTGTTCTTTAAAAGTCTTGCTTAACATCTTGGCGTCCACTCCTTGGAGAACCAGGACAAACCCAACATCTTAGAAACACACCTCTCGGGCTC